TTTTAATGTTAGGGTAAAGTTCATCGTCATCGAGTCACTAATATTAAACTTATAGAGTTTATAAGTAGGTTGATTTTTGTTGATCCATAGTGGTCCCAAGTATTTACCTTGTACCTTATGGAAAATTCGTAAAGGAGTCGCCATCGTAAATGGACAGTTGGTCTCACGTTGAACCTTATTTCAGGAGTGTGTTGGAGAAAGGTCGTACCTGAAAGGGGAGTTGCCGCATTCTTGATTTTGACAACTATTTTGATGGTTGAACGCAACACTGTAGTGTTCGCAAGTGTGCGGGTGGATTTATTCCGTCATTTAGACCGAAACCCTACAGGTTTTGCACAACCATCAAAAGTGGGGTCAAATCAAAGGATGGCGGTCACTCTACGGTTCAGTCACGTCCGTCAGGGGTGTCCGTGTCAAGTTGGCCCTTCGTTCGCCACCTGCAATCCTTCCACTTATATGACTCTGAACTGTGAAGCCTTCGTTCGCTTCGTCGACAATAACGACACATCTGTGTTTACGTGATAACGCTCTAGATCTGGTTCATCAGAAACAGTCTTGTCATAATGCGAACATTGGTGATGATATACGCCGACTCTTCTGCACTCGGGGGCTTAAAAATATCGAGATGTGATCTCAGCGTTCTCCTCACCTTCACAAGGCTAGAGTAAACACAATCGTCACACCTTATTGAGATATATAGAGCTGAAGGTCATACGGTAATGAGACGTATTACATAAGTACGTAGCAGGTGTGTGCAGTCTCCCGGTTCGAGAAATGCAACTTTATGTCTCTCTGTCTCATACGGTCTAGTATAGACCAATGCAATCGTGGTCATCAGATTCTCATCATTTCCTGCTGTGCAGGAGTGAATGGTACAATATACGTCACGATGTCTTAAGGAACTGCTTTCGTCGTGTACAGCAAGGGTATATGGTTGAGACGCCATAATCTGCACTCAGTACACCAGGTTCGGCGGACTTTCCTGTTTCGTCACCCAATCTCCTTGTTAAGTTCTTCAGTTTATCTCTCGTCGCAGAGTATGTATAGAGTTTCTTTAGGCCCTAGCACTCATATCATAACAAGACTCCATCATTCTCTCTTGGAAAGTGTAAGATAAGGTCATACAGACTTAGGAGATTTTCAGACCACTCAAAACACTTTAAAATGACATTCCAACACTAACCCATTCACACACACGTTCATACATCGGCCTTACAGAGCAAGAAGGGGTTCAATATCTTCAAAATGCGGACTGGAAGATTCAGGTACATGACCACTAATCCTCCAGTTGGTTGAAAACCTTCTCCGCCTCCTGACCCGCCCTAAATGGTTAACACCATACTTGCACAAGGCAGACCTCATTATTCTTTCAACACTTTCATTTAAGTCATTAATGTTATCTCAGTAGCAACAGTTTGCTGTGTTGTTATGATGCTCAACAATGTCTAAAGGAATTCGAGGCCCACAAAACAAACGCAGTCCAATGAACAGCTTACGAAGGTGACACCGAAATAGGCCTAAGATAAAAATTCAAAAGGCTTAAGCTGATAGGAAAGCTTATAACAATCCTTATGACAAGATAAATGGCGATGCTTCATGGTTTCTGATTACACACTTACACCCACACACACATTTGTATGATCTGTTGTGTTGACGGTTGTTTCCAGCGTGCCATAGGTTTTTCCACTTGTGAGTAGGAAACATTCTAACATCTAACTCAACCTGAAACAAGAAAGTTAAACTCCCCCAAGCTAGCGCAGTGCTAACCGCTAGCTTCACTTTGTGCATCTCTTCACACCTTGCTAGCATGCCGGCCCAATGCCTGGTGGTAAAGTGTGCAGCTGCTGGTTCCTGTAATGTTGCTCATAGTCATATCATTTTCAGTGGTGAGTTACACCTTTGCACTCCCTGTGTGTCATCTGACCGCTTCTCAGAATTGATTATGATGCACTTATGTGGTCAGACCATTTCTGTAAGCTGTGTACAGTTATTAAAGGGGAATTTGAGGTTTGATTAAGCAACGCTGACATCTGTTTCCAAAAGTGTTGAGCTTTTGTTGATGTGGTTTCTTATCAGTCTTGATCTGTAGCCCAAACTCCTCTTCTGGTTGGAGCAAGTTCACCTTAACTTACACAAACCGTGCAGAGCCAATCCTCCAAATGATCGGGGTGTCTTTTTTTGGCCTGACGTGAGGCCTGTTGCTAGGGGAAGGCCTGCAGGCGGGAGGCTGGAGGGAGGGTCAGATCTTTACAAAGCCAAACAGCTGAAGTGAAGGCCCGCTGAAGCACTTGCAGCTGCAGCTGTCAGTCACATGGCTTACAGTAAAATGGGTGACAGTGAGAAGGGGAAGAAGGATGAGAAAATAGGGAGGGAGGGAGTGAGGGGGATGTGAGTCGTGTCAGATCAGGGTGACATCACCAACATGTCGAAAGAGGAATGGTGGAGGAGGCAGCAGGAGGGTACGAAAGAAGGCGAGCTCATGCTTACGGCCCGTCCACACAGCAGCGTTAAAAAAATCTTCCAACGCTTCTGCCCATTGACTTTGAATGGGGGTGACGTCCCTTTGCCTCGCTTTTCGCCGAACTGCATTGTGGGGAAGCAAAGCGAAGATTTCCAGGATTTCCTAGATTTTCAGGATTCAAAAGTTGAGCAATGTTCAACTTTTGAAGCTGAGGTGGAAGCGTCAGCCAATCAAATCCCGTTTATGCAAATCTGACAGTAAAAGCACTAGCCAATCAAACCGCGTGTAAACTGGGAGAGACATGGGAGTTCATTTCCTCATATTCCAAACGAGAAATTACGGTAGCAAATCACCCGGTTCTTTACGACCAGTAACTATTTACCGGGATACAAACAGGAGGAACCAGGCATGGAGGGAGGTGGCAGAGACAGTGGGTGAAACTGGTAGGTTTTCGCCTGTTTTGGGGATTTTATATATATATATGTATATATATATATACATATATATATTGCTCGCATAAAATCCCCTGGGATTTTTGCTTTGTATGTCGGGGGCGGGAGATTCATGTGATTGGTTGTTGGTCGCGTTGCTCGCAAAAAATCCCCAAGCTTTCAGACACGCCCACCTCCAAGATTTTTTTAACGCTGCTGTGTGGACGGGCCGTTAGGGTTATTCCCAAAATGCAATGCTCAGCCTCCCCCTCGCCAACCATCAAGCACTCCGTAGTGAGACTGTGTGTGTGAGGCTGGAGTGTTTCTGTGCCATTGGTGGAGTTCGTCTGGAATGTCGTCTGACTACAAGTTTGTGCGAGACACTGGTTAACACACACACACACACACACGGACGGAGAATCTGTCTTCAGACCCTTATCCCACAGTAAACCCGGCTGAGGTTGCGGTTACACGAGTGTATCAGTGTGCTGATGTTAAACGGCAAGTTTCCAGGATTTCTGGCATTCTAATCGTTCAATTGAGTAAATTCCTGCGGTGACGGGCGGTACTGGGGAAAAGTAAAAACATTGTAATCGTATATTTTTGGTTTTAATCACTGCAATTATCCTACTTTGCCACACGCCGGACTCAATAAAACTCCTTGAAATAAGTGAGACACTTTTTAGAGAGAGACATTTCAAAAATAAATATGGTTGCATTTAACCTGTGATGCAAACAAACTCTTTATAGACGTTTATCATCATTTCTATTATTAATGGTACTAAATATGACTTGAAGATTTTTATTTCAATCCAGCAGCTGTCAGAGGTGCTCATTTTTAACTTTTACAAAGATAATCATCAGACTGAAATGTTATCAGCACATTGATATTTGAAGCTATCTGACTCAGAATCTCCGAGAGCTGACACTTACAAAGAAGCCGAGTCACTCCTGTGGACGCGCCCCATATAGGAAAATATAAAATAGCTCAGTACTATTAAAATTAAAATAAAGGAGTAGGGCTAAAGAAGAAGGAGTGAGCTGGACTTATTTTCCCTGCTTCCCTTTTCTCTTTGTTTTTAATCTCATGCTTGGTTGAGAAGTGACTTTTATTTGGCCTGTTCTCCGCTTCCTGTAGCTTTCATCCCCTTCCTTAAACTGACATGTCCAGCAGTTCTTTTTGATTACTGCCGTTCTCCTGGAATTCATTAGATACAGATAAGCCTGACTTTATGATTGAAGAACTGTACTTGAAACTTTTAAACTATCATAGATCCATCACAACAGAAACATATAATAATAATAATAATAATAATAGATTTAATTTGTTAGCGCTTTTACAGGTGCTCAAAGAAGCTTTACAGATAATAGTGAAGAAAAGACTGCCAAGGCACACGAAAGGAAAAACAAATAAATATATAGTTAAAGTTAAAGTTATCATCAACAACACTCTTAAAATAAAAAGTCACAGGACAAACCAACCAAATGCCAGGCTCCCACAGTCCCACAATGCACTTGGTGAGCCCAGTGCCATCCCGCAGACTCCCAGAATGCCTCAGCAGGATGCCCAAAAAAAAAGCAACACTTTTAAAAACACAGTGTCAAAGTGACAGCAGAGCAGCACAAACTTTCCCATTGTGTTCATCGCCGGGCCAGCCGACATCAAAGCGCTTCTTTAAAACAGCTCGGGATAGAAATCATATGGCCCGCTGGATGATCTGATTTTGAAATAATTCTCCTTTTGTCCCCACCGCCGGCTTCAAACGCGAGGGACGGGCCAAACATTCGGCTCCAGAGATGACACTGGAAACTGTGGAATGGGCTCGCTAGTGTAAACCGCTGTTGCACTTTCCATGCATCAAAAGAAGTGTCAAAATGAGCCGGGCTCATGCTAATCAGATGGTCAATGGGGCAGGGTAATGAGATTTGGAATTAAGTGGAATCAAGGCGAATAAGGCCCCCGGACATCAAAGGGAACGAGGGTGAGCCGGGCTTGTCTTTATCAGAAATGTCTCCGGCCGTATGATAATCAGATTTTATAAACGCTACTATTGTATGCGCGGACTTCAAACGCGACAAGGCTTTATCCGTCTCTCACACACAGCTGGGCCCTGACTTTGGGAGGGAGAGAGAGAGAGGATCTGGGTTGAGTGGTGTAAAGGAGAACGGAGCGAGAGAACGAGTGAGGGAGGTCGGCCTCTCCCACTAGTTTGAGACTGATCTGTTTTTCCCATCAAAGGTCACCAGCTGTTGACCCCTCCTCACCCCTTCATCTCCCCCCTCTCTTTCTCCTCCCCCATTCTTTCCCTCCCCCATTCTTTCCCTCCCCTCTTTGCTCAGGCTCACTGTAGCCACTGTCTGTTGCTCTGTCCCATGTGTGCGTCTGTTATTTGTGCTGTGTGTGTGTGTGTGTGTGTGTGTGTGTGTGTGTGTGTGTGTGTGTGTGTGTGTGTGTGTGTGTGTGTGTGTGTGTGTGCCTGCTTGTATGGCTCATTCTTAACCATTTCTGCCACTGTTTATTCAGGTGGGCCACTGTGGTGTGACCCCTCCTCCGCTCAGACACCAATGAATATGTGTGTGTGTGTGTGTGTGTGTGTGTGTGTGTGTGTGTGTGTGTGTGTGTGTGTGTGTGTGTGTGTGTGTGTGTGTGTGTGTGTGTGTGTGTCCTGGCTGAAGGCTAGAAAGGAAGCAGGAAGGAGGGACTGACCTTGTTTTGACGAGTTTGACTGGTGGAACACCTGCTCTCTCTCTCTCTCTCTCTTTCCCTCTGGCTCTCTCTGTCACACACTCGTACACACACCTTGCCGAAAAGTCAAGAGAACAATCTCTGAACTTTAGAACGAAGGAAGTCTTTTGTCAAGTCATTTTCACATGCTGTCAAACCCTCTATTGGTGGAGGTAATTGATCTTACCATACAGTTGAATCGGCTTGTGATGCAGGTCATAGACACACTGCCTGTTGTGTCTCATGCCTGCATATTGTGGGAATGGCTTGACTTTGGGTCATCAGTGTGGATCATCAGGTTTGGACCCATTTAGGACAGCTCCATGTTGGGACATGTGGGCATAATCGCATGGCCTTGGGGAACAGAAGAGATTTAAATACCACATCTTGCTTAAAACCAACAGCTCAAGAACAGACTTCATTTGTAGCTTTCACATGAAGGAACCCCCCGTACATGAAGTTATGGCTGTTGTCACACACCTGCTTTCTTAGTGCCAAATGAAGCTCATTTATACGCTCTCTTTCTTGGCTTTTCACTAACCCGTTTTACATAGAGATCGCTGTAATACACTTAAGATATCCTGCCATGCCGGCTGTCCCTGTTCAGCTCTGTGACTATCTCTGTGGCGGGCAGAGGGTAAGGGTCAGAACAACACTGTCCCCCAATCTGTGCTCGTACCCTTTATACGACGCAGAATAACATGCCCTCTTTTAATAGTCTATGTGAAAAGAGCTACTCTCTCACTCGTTAATCGTGGCTTTTTTAGTTTTTTTTTTTTAGACCAGTCGGGTAAATGAAAGTGATACCAAATGAAATTCCCATCCCTAGTTAGCACCCAGGCATGTGTCAAATGTGGCACCCGGCAAAGGCTTTCATGTGTGCTCGGATAACACTGGCCATCACGCTCATGTATGCACACATGCCTACACAGACACAGACCTGCTGTAGCAACATGGATGCCTGTGTGTGTGTTTAGTGTTTGTCTGCTTTGCATATTCTATATGTACTGTAAACACCTGTCTGTATGTCTGTCAGCGTGTTTGCACTAGAGTACGGCTGTGTCTGGGCTTCTTATGTGGCCTCTGGCAGTCCATAAGCTCCTCTGACACGTACGTTTGTGTCCCGGTGAGTGTGTCTATCACTTTGGCCGACCAGCAGTGTGTCTCGTAAGTCTGCCTTCTGATTCTCCAAAATTAAATAGTTAGTCTAACACTTTCTTGAGTGGAGAACCTTCAAATTGGAGTGGAGAAACTTCCCATTTTAAACTTAGAAGGTGGATATGCCATGTCCCCCTCCTGGTACAACTAGATTCATTTTCAGATTTCCCACCAAAAAGTAGTCATTTTAATGTTTTGGAAGCCTTTTCAAGATGGTTGAGTTTCGGTTCTTATTTATTTAGTCTTATTTGGCTAGAACTTCTTGGAAATCACACAGCCCTCTCCCCATTCCATCACACACTGAAGTACTCCAAAATTCCCCTTCGAGTGGCTGTGGTTGATCACCGAGGCCCCATCCATCTAACAGATGTATTTTGCGTCTAAGCTCTGTTTAGAACCACAGGTGTCCTTGGGATTGTTTAAAGAAGGCCAGCCTCTGTTGGGAAGCTCTTAAAGTACACACTTTGTGGTGGATGAAGACCACTTTATTCTGTGTACTCTGCTCTCTTTGTGTCTGAGAGTGGGTTTAGAGAAGGCGGGGGATTCGGATTGTCTTGTGTTGGTGATGGGGAAAGGACAGTGAAGTTGAGCAGGGTGATTTATTTTCAGGTTGTGATATGGACACTCGGTAGGGTGGAGTTGGAGGCCTGTGAGTTGTTTCCACACGGCCCTAATGCTTTTTTGTATGTGTTTTTTCTATTTTCCAGCCATCATAATAAGATCCGCAGTATAGACGGCAGGCGTACCAGAGAGCTGGCTTCTGTGGAAACCCTGGACCTGAGCAATAATGATATCACTGAGCTGCGAGGGCACTGCTTTCCTGCAGGCCTGCAAATCAGACACCTGTAAGTTCAATCTCTAATTATCACCGTGACACCAATCTTTAAAAAGAAAGGCACTTCAATCAAATAAGATGATATTTAACTTAAGGGGTCAAAATAACGTTTTCTAGGGGAACATCTCCCTAATAAAAGTGCAATTCAGCATTAATATCTTATTTTTTACTAATATATAATAATAATAATAATAATAATAATAATAAACAGTTTATATTGTAATTTACAATATATATTGTTGTTCAATGTGCACATGATTACTTTAACTAGGTTTTTTATAAATATGTTTACTTTAATGTACCTTTTTATTGCACATTCTTACTTTAACTTCTTATGTTTATATAAATACTTAACATTCAAATATTTTTTAGATTGATTTCATTCTGCAAAAGAGCAACTGTCATGAAAATCAATTTCCCCAGGGATAAATATAGTGATCTGATGAATGTCATTGATTGTGATGTAATATTGCTTTTTAGAAACGGGGCCCTTGAGGTTTGTTACAACTCTCTAATGCCACATGGTACGGTTTCTGCCTCCAGGTACCTTAGCAACAACAAAATCTCTTTGTTGGAGCTCGGAGCTCTGGACCATCTGGGCGCGACTCTCCAGGTCCTGAGACTGAGCCGAAACCGCATCAGCCAGATCCCCGTGAAGGCCTTCCAGCTCCCCAGGCTCACCCAGCTGTAAGTACCACTGGATTCCATCACGACAACAACACACAGTTATGATGATTTTGATCTGCAAAAATTAAATATTTCCGTCATTTTAGCCTGAAAATGATCCCAATCGTAGCCTAAATGAAGACATTATGGAATTGAAAGTATTTAAGAGTTGAATCGAGCAGTCGTGTCTGTTGATCGAACTCTGTGTGTTTACCGTTTAGAGCGCTATTAGTGTGAGCTACACCTTTAGGGACGGATAAGGTCTGACTAGGCAAACACCGGAGCCACATTGTTAGTGATTTATTGCCTTCTTCAGTAGTTAGCTCATTCCCCGCACCATTATCTTCAAACCCCCCCCTTCGGCCTCGCGGTGAAGTCGACCAATTTGTACCTCAACGCCTCCTCTCTGGAGACCCAATGGACTCCTGCAATGGGAGTCTTCCCCCATTGTGGCTCCAGGAGCTCCCCCAGGTGCCTCTTTGTTGGACAGGTGGCCCCAGTGACACTTGTACAAACTTATGAGGATGTTTATCTTTGCCAACCAGAGGGCTTTTAAAACCTTCGCATACCAAATGTACAGAATCACTGCAGAGAGGTCTCACGCGTTATATGCAAGAATAAAACAAACTGGTGTTAGATATGTTATAGTTCAATTGTTATTTCATAAGTTGTTTGTAAGCTACAGCCTGTGACCTCATGGCACAACTGGAAAGGACACCACTGAGGAAAGCCTGTTAATCTGGGGGTTTGTTAGCTACACAATGCTCCAACTGAAGCGTGCAGGCTACAGGACTCCTTAGTTTTGACTTCAGTGTGATGGATGGTAATATAGAATGAGGGGTGAAACATTCCTCAGTCAAAAAGAGAGTGGAAAAAAGTGTGTTTCCTGCTTTTAAGATGTGGGTAATGTTTTTGACAGATTCTTACTAAGAATGATTAATTGCCTTACAGTTTTTTCCCCATGATCAGTTTGATGCATTTCTTCTGTCTGTCCCGCAGTGAGCTGCACAGGAACCGTATCCGTCTAGTGGAGGGTCTCACCTTCAAGGGTCTGTCCAGCCTGGAGGTGCTCAAGCTGCACAGAAACAACATCAACAAACTGACCGACGGCGCTTTCTGGGACCTGGCCAAGATGAAAGTCCTGTACGTAAAAAAACAAAAAAAAAACTGAAACAGTATCAATAATATATTTACATGAAATGACAAACGTGTCCATTTTATTCTTTTGCACAACTGTCCCTCCAGCTCAGAATTAAGAAAACGTTTACAATCAATTAGCACCACCTAAACTGAGCAGTTGCTAAATAAACTTAAATACTCACCTACCAAACCGTATAAGAGCTTTTTGTCCCTTCCTGAACTTTCCCACTCGCAACCACAACAACACCCATTCCTGTAAACCTGCCATTTCTACACTTTACTCCAATTACATGCAAAATAACAAAGTAATTGTCACAAATTGCATTGCACTTGTCAGAAACGCCTCTGCCAGCTGAGCGAATTGAAATTCCCGACATCCTGCTGCCCGTAAACCATTTTTTCAAGATCCTGCAAAAAAATTCACTAACACTTATTCTGCTCGTTTTTCACTCGTGCAGTCACCTGGACTACAACAGCCTGACGGAGGTGAACAGCGGCTCCCTGTACGGCCTCTCCTCCCTCCAGCAGTTATTCCTCAGTAACAACTCCATAGCCCGCATCAACCCTGACGGATGGAAGTTCTGCCAGAAGCTGAGGGAACTGTGAGTACAAGCATACACATGAGCCAGAGCACCTCCTCTCGCAAAAACATTAAGTAGATTGATAGCTATATTTTCTAAGCCTGGAATGATGAGTGCAGTTGAAGAGAAGTCAACAGAGAATGTGCTACATAGTTACACTTTTTTTAATCGTGAAGAAGCAGAAACATCACTTTTTAAAATCTTTCCTGTCCGTCTCTTGGGATTTAAACCGTTTTAAACCTATATCCTGAGAATTCAACACTCCCCACCCACAACCATATCACCCATCTACCTTCCCTAGGGTTACATGACATTGTGCTTTAACACTCAATACACCACGCTATTCTCAGAATAAGCCTGTTTATCCTATAATTAGAGCCGGGCTCAACAGCACTCAAACCCTCCGACAAGACGTTTTTGTTCTGGATTCTGAAGCGCCGAGGGTTTGTCAAACCAGCGTGTAATCCTCTAGCGCTCGTGTTGTGGTAATTACACCGAGGGATCACCTTCGCGGCCTTTGTCTACCCAACGGAGAGTTATTATCCGAGAGTCTTTCCTGTTCGGCTGACACGGCGGGTGCTATCGCTGCTCTAAAGTGCTCTGCTCAGCTGAGGCGTTGCTAACTGCGAGGCGGCCTGGGGTTTCCGTGGCGCCGCTGTTTGTTTATGTGTAACAGTCAGATGGGATAAAGAGGTAGATGTTAGCTTGCTCTCAATGCCGCTTCCTGTGCGCACGTCTGGGAATGACAGATTGCTCCCAGCGCCATCCCCTGAATCATCCCCCCAGGCAGCGGTTATTTATTATTTCTTTCTAGAATGACGATAAACCCCCATGACTGATAGAAGAGAGTGACTCGTCCTTATGAAGAGCCTCATATTGCATTCCCAAAGCTGGCAGCGAGAGGAGAATCTAGGCTGCACACATGACTGGTCAAGCAAACCTGAGGCCACCGAGACAGACAGCGAGGGCCACAGGGAGGGCAATGAAATGCACAATGCTGCCTTTGACGACTGTTTGAAAGCTACTTGTTGTTGCTTATAATCAACAGGTATTACATGCATGCTATGAAACAACAGTCAGTCACTTTTTTTGTTGAAGAAGCTACTGTTTTTGCCCCATTTGGATATCCTTAAGCCTGAGCCTATATGAAAATATGTAGCATTTTGAGGGCTGCAGTACCCTTAAGCGTCATTATATTCCCCTGGGGGTTTACCACACACTCAAGTAGGCCTATAAATGGAGGTTGTAGACATGTAAAGTTCCAACCGAGAGTTTATTTTCTTCCCTGTCGAAAGGTTAAGACCTCGGCTGAGCTCTAAACGTCTGCTAAGCCCATTCTCTGTTCACATCTTGAGGTGACGGTGGAACTCACAATGGAAAAACACATTACCGAGTGGCAAATAGACATTATATCAGCCGTGAAATTCAAGTCTAATGATGTCGTGAGCTGCTGCCTCAGCGTTTTGCCAACCTGTCTTCTCCTTCAGGACCTCACACAGAACACTTCTCTCCCCCCCTTTTTTCCCCTCTCGTTCTGTCTGCCTGCCGTCTGTCTCACACTATGATTCTCTCTCCAGGAATCTGTCCTATAACAACTTGACTCGTCTGGATGAAGGCAGCCTGGCCGTGCTGGGAGATCTCCACTCGCTCCGTCTGGGCCACAACTCCATCAGCCACATCACCGAGGGAGCCTTCAGAGGCCTCAAGTCCGTACGCACCCTGTAAGTACTCCCACCCAGCCCCCGAACAACCCACTCATTACGGCTTTCCCCCCTGCTGGCAATAAGGCTTGGATGTTCCATTTGGGAGCAATGAGAGCTGAGATGACTTGTATTGGTTTTGCCTCTGTGATATTTGATATAACTCCCGTCATTAGACTTCAGAAAGCGGGAGGAGGTGTTTACTTTTCAACGGTTTTGATCTCATTTGCATTCATGACTTTTCCTTTTACTCTTTCGAGGCGTTCATGAATCCCTTTTGTTGCATTTTCTGTGGAAACTCCTTCTTTTTCCTGCGTCTTTTCCCCACTTTGTTCCATTTGTTTGGTTCTTGTTATTTTTCTCTCCAACAAACTTGGATCTAAAAGTGTTCTGTGTCGCCCACCTCCCTCAAGATCCTATGACAAGCCATGAATTTAGACAGAGGTTTTCTTTCCACCTTTTTGCACAAAAAGCTCCAAACAGGAAGGACAAGGAGAGAGTGAAAGGGAGAAAGTCAGGGGGATAAATCCAGGAGAAAGACTTGGGGGTCTTGGGTTCCTAACCAATGTCCTTTTGGCTGTGCCTCGTACCAGTGACAGAGCCAGAGAGGGGAGTCGTGCCAGAGCTCGCTAGACAAGCTCTCACTAACAGCAGGGGGGGGCAAGCCAACGCACAGAAGGGTGAGACCAGCGACAGATAGGGAGCTGACAACATGAGACCTATCATCATGTTTTCCTTCTCCATCTTGATTTGTGTGCATGATCTCTCCTCTTGTATCACCGCTGCGCTCCTTGTCTTTGAGGCAGGCCCTAATCTAATCAGTGGAGGGGAGCGCGGGCCTAGGCCGGGCCCTGAAAAGGGGCCGGGGGGAGCTTTAATTGGGCCCGCGCTGCTGGTCTTGCTGGCATGGGGCTGGAGCCTGCGACGGGGTGTGAAAGCTCAAAACAAGCCAGCCTGCCCTCTAATTCGGCCACAGGGGTCGTTGGCTCATCAG